TTTGTAAATGAATCTCTTTGCTCGATTATTGCACATGGATCTCTTTGGTCCAGTCAATGTGCACTCAATAGTTGGAAAGAAATATACACTTGTCATTGTTACTGAGTATGTCAGGTACACTTGGGTCTTCTTTCTCAGATCCAAAAGTGATGCACCTGAAGAAATTATTTCGTTCATCAAACGCATAGAAGTACTTCACAATATTAACGTACGATCTATCAAAAGTGACCATGGTATTGAATTCAAAAACAATACTATGGATAGCTTCTTTGAAAACAAGGGAATCTCTCACAACTTCTCATCTATGATAACTCCACAATAAATTGGAGTCGCTGAAAGAAGAAATCGAACAATAATTGAGGCTGATTGATTCATGCTCAGCGAGTCCCATCTCTCTACTCAATTCTGGGCTGAAGCTGTCAACACTGCTTGCTTTACTAAAAATCGGTCATTGATTGTTGAAAGATTCAAGAAGACAACTTACGAACTCTTTCATAGCAGAAATCCCTCTCTCAGCTTTCTTCACATATTTGGTTGTACTTGTTACATTGTCAACAATCATGACCAACTTGGAAAGTTTGATCCCAAAGCTAATGAAGAAATCTTTCTTGAATAATTCAGTATCCAAAGCCTTTAGAGTATTCAACAAACGTCGACAAACCATAGATGAAACTATCCATCATTAATGATGATGAAGAGTTAGAGAGTTGGATGTTCTCTCATTTTGGACAACCTGAAGCTTCCTTCAGCAATCAACCTAATGCTAATACTCCAGAAGCTGATGATGATCCACTTATCATTCCAGTTGCAATTGATAACCAAGGAAAATTCTTTTTAGGGTTTGTTGCAATGCCCATTAGTTGCATTCCTTCCTCTACTTCAAATACTGACCCTTAAGTTGCTGAAATGCCTTTAGTTTCTGAACCTCTGTTAGTTGCTGAATCTCTCTCTGAGGCACCTTTAGCAATTCAACGTATTGTTGAAGAATATATAGCTGAAGCCTCATCTTCTCTACCTAAACATCAATGCTCAGATGATAATCCTCTGCTAGCACATACATGGACTAAAGACCATCCTATTCATCAAACTCATGGTGATCCAAGTGCAGGTATTTAGACACGACATGGTCTAGGTAATATCTATCTCTTTGTCAACTTTCTATCTATAGCTGAACCCAAGAAAATCAATGATGCTATCTCAAGCCCGAGCTGGGTCATTGCCATGCAAGAGAAGCTCATTGAGTTTAATAGGAACAAAGTGTGGTACCTTGTCCCATGTTTATCTGACAAAACTGTGATAGGCATGAAATGAGTTTATCATAATAATTTAGATGAATAAGGTGTGGTAACCAGTAACAAGGCTCGTCTTGTTGCTAAGGTTTATAGACAAGAGGAAGGAATCGATTATGACGAACGGTGTTCAAATGGTGCTCAAAGCTATTCGACTCTTTCTAGCCTTTGCTGCCCATAGAGACTTTAAGGTATTCAAATGGATGTAAAGAGTGCTTTCCTTAATGGAAAACTCCAAAAAGAAGTTTACATTGAACAACCTCTAGGGTTTCTTAACCCCAAGTATCCAAATCATGTCTATAGATTGGATAAAGCTTTTTACGGGTTAAAACAGGCCCGTCGTGCCTGGTATGATACCCTATCCTCATTTCTCATCTCTGAGGAATTTGTCTGTGGAAAGATTGACCAGATCTTATTTCTTAGAAAAGTTAAAGGTAACATCATTCTAGTCCAAATTTATGTCGATGATATTATTTTTGTTCCACTAATCCCTCGTTGTTTTTTCGGTTCGTTGATCGCATGAAAGAATATCAGATGAGCATGATGGGAGAACAAACATACTTTTTTGGTCTTCAGATCTAGTAATCATATAAATGTATCTTTATCAGTCAAAATAAGTATGTCAAAGATATGCTGAAAAAGTTTGATCTATCAAACAACTCATCTATAGAGACTCTGATGGCTCCTCATCTCTCACTGAACATGGATCCAAACAGAAATCCTGTAAACATTACTGTTTATAGAGGAATGATAGGCTCTCTGCTGTATCTCACAACAAGTCGTCCAGATATCATGTACTATACCTGTCTATGTGCACGATATCAATCTGAACCTAAGGAATCCCATCTGATTGCTGTAAAACGCATATTCAACTATCTGAAAGGAACTCCTAATTTGAGTCTTTGGTATCCCAAGGGTTCAGGTTTTGACCTAATAGGTTATTCGTATAGTGATTTTGCAGGTTGCAAAATTGATAGGAAAAGCATCACTGGAGGCTGTCAGCTTCTAGGTGGAAAGTTGGTTAGCTGGACAAGTAAAAAGCAAAATTATGTGTTCATATCAACTGATGAAGCTGAATATGTCGCTGCCGGAAGCTGCTGTGCGCGAATTCTTTGGATGAAAAAACAGCTCAACGACTATGATCTTCAGCTTTCCAAGATCCATACCTATTGTGATAGCACTAGTGTTATTGCTATTGCAAACAATCATATTCTTCACTCCAAGACCAAACATATTGAGATCTGACATCATTTTATCAAAGATGATGTTATGAATGATAATATTGAACTTTACTTTATTCCAATTGAGTACCAACTCGCTGACCATTTTACAAAGCCTCATGATGAGACAAGATTTAACATCTTGATCAGCGAACTTGGAATGCGAAACGCTGAGAATTAACTTCTTCAGCTATAAGCATTACTCAGTAAGTGAAATGATTTACTATTCTTATTCTATCACTAAATTATTGAGTAAGTATATCTTCAATCTCTAAGGTATGTATACTTATCCCTCTTTTCAAAACTTAAAACTATCACTGAATCTTTCAATATTTAGTGATCAAACTGTTTTAAAAGATTGTTTCAGTGTTCTATCTATCACTGAACCCTTTAAGCAAGTGTATCTCTCTAAGATATACTTATCTTGTCTTAAAACAAAAACTATAATTGAACCTTTTATTAACCAGTGATCAATGTTTTAAAGGTTGAAATTCCTTCAGTGATTCTTCTTATCACTGAACTTCTTAAACTTATGTTTTCAAAAAGATATACTCTTAAAAACTCATATTGATTATTCATATTTAGTATCTCATATGTTTTTAAATGACTTAAAACTTTTGTTTAAAAGAAAATGGAAAAAGAAACGTCTTCTAACATCATTTCATTTTAATGATATGATTTTTTTGAGACGCGCGTACCATTCTGACACACGCGACCCCTCGAAATTCCATCCAATCGTGGATGAGGACATGATAACTTTTTCATCATTGCAAATTTTAAGTCGTATTTTTCTCTCTCCTCTTTCCATTTCTCTCTCCTCCTACCTATAAATATGAGACTTCTTCTCTCAATGTTTCTTTACGCTTACAAAAATTATCATCAAACCTCTGCTTCTAATACTTTTGCAAAAAAGAAATAAAGAACGCTAAAAAACCTTCAACCTTCTTCTTCTAAAAATTATAGATTGATAACCCTTTCTATCTTATTTTGATATATTCTTCTTCTAAGAAACTTTTGTTATGTTATTTAAGAACTTGTTCTTTTAAACAACTAACATATAGATTATTAATGCATTCTAATACTTGGTTATAATCTAGGTTTCTATACACTTATTCTTCTTGAAACACCCTAATTCTTTTTGAGGCTTTTTGAAAAGAAGTTTTACTGTTTAAAACTTATAGTTTACATCAATTCTCTTGTGGACTACTAACAAACTTGTTATCTTCTGTTTTCTCTTATATATAACAGAAATATCTGCCAAGAACGTAACCTTCACTACTGACGAAGTGTCTTTCAAGCCCAACAACCATGTGGCACTTGTAGACATTCCCGCCAACAAACCACATTTCAAGGATGCTACTGACGAAGTGTCTCTCAAGAACTCTCCTATTTTAGTTGCTCTCACCCATGAACCTATCATGGTGAAAAAAATCCTGCAGCAGTTCTAGTTTTCTACTGAAGTAACAAAAGAAATTGGCAAGACTGGAACACAGGTGGATAAAATCTCCTTCACCTTCAACAGGATGACCATATGTTTTGTTGTAGCCACATTAAGGACCACTCTCAAGCTTCTCAAGGGTCCTTACTCCAGTGAATCTTCCACTGAAGACATCATCTCTTGTCTAGATGATATTGGCTACATCTGGCCAACAAAGAAGGACACCAGTTATACCCTCAAATTTCTCTCAAAGATTGAGAAGAACCGCATGTGTGCGGTGTGGAAATATTTGTTTTCCTATTTCATCCAGAATCCAAGGTTGCATTGGACATTGGCATTTCTATAATTCATAAGAGGCCAATCAACTTTGCTGGTGTAAACTTTGAAGACCTGGGGCAAAAACTGAACAAACGCCAAAGGGAAAAGGTGGTTCCTTACACCAGATTCCTCTGTATGGTGTTTGCTAAGATTTTTAGAAACAAATAGCCCACAGAAGGAAACTTGGCTATTTGCAGGCTTGGGTCATGAATCTTGGACCATAAGTCTAAAGCTGCTGATGTTGCACTTTTTTTCTCTTATGGACACCTTGCACGACACGCGTTGTAGTACTTTTTCATCTTCTGTAACTGTTCCTGTTTGTCCTTCTTCCCTTGCTCCGATTGTCAAGACTAAGGCAAACCTCTCTTAGTCTATCCTAACCACCACACCCTCTCTTCTAAAAGAACCTCCTCTCAAGCCACTCTTGGTTCTCCAACGAGTGCCAAGAAAGCCAAAAAGGGGCTACCCACATCCGTGGTTGCTATCTTTCAAAAGGTTTTAGTCATTGAAACAAGCCTCATCCCTGAGGCAACTTCTGTTAATACCCCTCCTAGCTATTTAGTGATTTCTTCAGTTACTGTCGTACACGCGGCTCCTCTCCCAAAAGCGTTAGTGACCCAAATCGCTGAAGGTGTGAATATCAGCATAGCCACTGCTAAACACCCACTTCCACCACTCTCATCCATCTTCTTTTATTCTCCTTCTTTGGTCTAGACACATGTTGGTGATTCATCGATGATTGTTTTCACTGGTGATGAAGCAATCACCACAAGACCTGAGGTCAATCCTCTCGAGATACCTCAGTCAACAGAAGCCTATCCTCTCGAAGGCAACCAGGAGAGAACTAGCATCAATCCTTCAGATGATGTTGATGACGTTCTAGGTACTCTACCAACCTACCCCTTCATTTCTTCTAACCCCGAGCTATCTTTTGCTTAATTTTCTTCTACTTTTTTAGGCCCTTTCGATGAAGAACCGACAACCATGGAAGATAAATACAACATGGTTAATGATGTCAAGCTGATTCTCCCAACTGTACACACGATCTTAATTAAAATGAATGAAGTACATAAAGACATGCCTCTTCAGGATGACCTTTCTTCTAACATCTGAGCTGTCAAAGCTGAAGTCAATGATGTGAAGGAATTGCTATCTGAAGTGCAAACCGATGTACGCACCAATGCAGCGACTGAATCTTATTTCTAAGAGTCTTGATGATCTCACCTCTCACTCTGCTGATGACAAAAGGGGGGAGAAAGACTTACCTCAAGCTGCTGCTGCTGTCCTTACAACACCAACTGATGCTCAAGATGAAAGAGCTAAACCAAATGAAGCTGTTGCTGAATTTGTAGATGCCATCATATCCCATGAAGCTAAAGTTGTTGCTGAAGCTGAGGACAATGATGATGCCATGAAAGTTGATGCTCAAGATGAAGACCTTCCTATCACCTCTGCAGATAATGCTGGTGATAAGGAATATGAAGATGATGATGATAACGATGAAGCAGATGATCCTCTTTCCTTTCTTGATGCTGGAAAAGATCTTGGCGCTGCTGTTGATGATGAAGACGATGATAACGATGACTTCACCATTCAATACCACACCAAACCATTTGCGGCTCAAAAAGGTGTCTCACTCAGGGAATCCTCATCCCAGGGAGAGAAAGAGAAAGAGACGTCTACAAAGAACCAGAACACCTCCTCTAAAGACAAATGTATTGTTGAAGAAGGAAACTTGACCGTTCTTTTCAAGCCTATCAATCCTTAAGGATGTTGTTGATCCTCTCTCTCATTGATTTGATGACAACCATTTTTACATTTCGAAGTATTATGTTTATGTCTTTTCAGTTCCAGCGATCATCATCGAGTCTGTTCAGTGATCGCTGAAACATGCATTGTAATCCTAGAACGACGACGATACTTCAAGAAGACAGTACTCACACCCAAGAACCTTCAGTTATTGTTGAAGACTAAAACTGAAGATTAGTGACTGGCACGTTCGTGATCTAAAGCGGCATTCAGTGATTACAACCTAGTCAACATACGTGTGAAGACTGCACAAGCCTCAGTGAGTGCTGAAGAGACCTCTAGCGTTATTCCAGCATTCAGCGATCAAATGAATATTTCTATGCACAATTGTTTTTTTCTTGTCCTTCCATACACAAAGGACAAACCCATACCCTTTCAAGAGATAGTACTGCACGGAGCCGACTAGTCAACTCTAGTACCCACCAACTCCATGAAAGGATGTCTGCTCATGAATTGACAATAGTACTATTCACTGTTGCAAAGGACAAGCATTCCTCTAAAAGCTTGATGCGTGATACCCCTTCTGACTTGCAGTTAATGCAATGGGTAAAAATAGCTGAGCGATCTTCTCATGAACAACATCTACAACACATAAAAGAACACAAACGCTTACCTTCAAGCAAGTTAATTTTTTTTTTCTAATTCTAAAGTTCTTACCCAAGAAGAACATCTTTCTGTCTTTATCTTATGGTGAAGATTTCTTATATTTGCTAAGTATATTTGTGTGTAATCTTAGATTGTTTTAGATAGGTTATCTTTACCTTTTCTATTCCACAAACAATCTGTAAAAATCTGTATTGATCCTTCTATATCAATATATATTTTTAAATATGAAGGTTTTCAGTGTTTGTAATCCGCCTCTACAAACTGTTCCCCTCTAAACTCTTGTAGACCTAATTGGGACCAACAAGTGGTATAAGGGCTCTGTTATCTTCTCGTATTGTTTAGTTGTTCATCTGTATTTTATTATCTTTTCTTTCTCTAGATAATTTACTGCTTTACAAATGGATTTACAAAACATTAACACAAACTTTCACGATAATGGCTCTCTAGCCAAACCTTCCCGATTTATAAGAGACAACTTCAGTCTCTAAAATAATCGAATGTCACTCTTCATGGAGGGTGTGGATCCTGAGATCCCACACAGATGGACCTTATGTTTCATACGCTATATCTCCGGCTGTTCCTAAAAATGCTACGATCGCCGCGATCCCTGAATGGATGATTCCAAAGCTCCCTCATCAATGGGGTGATGAAGACAAGAAGAAGGTTGCTATGAATACTTGAGCGAGATCTATAATAGCCATGTCTCTTTCTGAAGAGGTTTATCATTCTGTTATGAAGCTTAGAACCTCGAAATCCGTATGGGACACTCTTTGTGTTCAATATGAAGGTACTTCCCAAGTACAAGAATCGAGGAAGATTAATTTAGCAAGACAATATGAAAGCTTTCTCTTTGGAAAGAATGAAACATTGTGTGAAGTACATCAAAGATTTAATTGTCTTCTTTTCGATTTGAGGACTGTTGGCAGGGAATATTCCAATTCTGAAACTTTGACAAAATTTCTGGAATGTTTGCTAGAATATTGGGATACATATTCTATGTGTCTCAAAATGTCTAATGATATGTCCTCCCTCTCACTAAGTTCTCTCTATGGGATACTACTTAATCATGAGCAGTCTCGTCAACTGAAGAGGAATCTCATCAAAGATTCAGGAGAAATGAAAAGTTCTCCTTTAGCTTTGATCTCTGAAGATTCTTCAGCTGATCTCCCATCTTCTTCTTCTATTCCTCTTGCTTTTTCTGTTTCTTTAACAGAGTTAGATCCCACTAACTCCGAGGATTTGTCAGAGTATGATCTTGCAGACTTTGATGATTCACAGGCTCTTCTAACCAAGTCATTTAGAACATTTGTCAGAAAAGTAACTTATGAAGATATTCTTCATTGACCATCAAGGATAAGCCAAAGTCAGATCTTATTGACAAGGCTTCAACGATTTGCTACAACTATCAACGCAAAGGTCACTTTGCGAGGGAATGCAGGTTAAATAAGACTATGATGCCATTGTTGATCCCAGATCTCTCAATAACACTAATAATCTAGTTAATAATAACCAAATTATAGTGATTTAACGAAGAAAGTTATGAATGCTCTAGAAGAAATTAAGAAACAGTTAAGAACAATCTTGAGCTTCAAAGGTTTCACTTTTATTATAAGAAGAACGTAAAGCTATTTGAGCGACTCTTTTTACAATAGGTCTGATCACCTATTTATACTAATCAGCTAATGAAAAGATAACTATCTAATGAGACATTTTAGCTAATCTTCTATTAACTGACAATGTTTATCTATTCTATGGATAAACTTTAGTATTAAAGATAAACTAGAAATCTAGMTGTTGACATGTCATCTCCAGCTGTCATTCATGGTGTGGTGAATCATCCTTATCTTTAGATCTTCGCTATATGCTTTTGGATGACTTGCTGGAGAATTCACTGAGTGTTGATGACCAGAGAATCGATGAGGATGCTCTTTCCATCGCATCCCAGATCGTCCATCGGTCCTCTGGTTATACTCCAGACTTAGTCGCTTCTGCCYTGATATCTTCATCGATCCTCTRGTTCTTCATCACTTATTGTTTTTCATTACTTTTTACATTATGAGTTATGGGGTTTAACAATCTCCCCCTAAGTAATGAAAAGACAAACATATGCTACTCTAGAAACATTGGTGATGAACAGAGGCTAATCTAATTGAAAGACATCAGATTCCAAGTTTTCATTGGATGATGAAATTCATACAGTACTGGAATCAGTATACATCAAGGCAAAAAAAAAATTCAACTCATCATGAGCTAGCTGAATATATTTCTGTAAAGTGTAGAAGCAGTCTTCGATATGCAATGACTGTCAATATCTCGTGAATGAGTCGACTCCCTTCTTCTCTTGGCACATAGTGTCTTCCCAGTCTTTCTCGAATGACTTTCTGAAACCATTCAAGTGTATCTGTTGAATACTTGAAGGCTTCAGTCAGTCTAAAGAATTTTTTGATCCCGAACTCATTCTTGTAAACAAGTCCAAGTTCGGGTTGAGTTATAACTGAGGCATACCGTATCTCCTGCTGGCCTTGGAAGTCATCGTTTGGTGGAGCACATGAGAGCCTTTCAATGCCTAGCCGAAGAGCTATTTCAAAATCGCTCTTGGCTCTATGGTTTACCAGGGTTTCCAACGTTTTCACCACCACTCGGTTTGCTATTCCAAATCTGATGCTGTGGTCTTGCCTCTGAGCCGTATATGCATACAATTCAATCAAGTCGTATGGGTTGAGGTTGATGAGGTCGTTTTCATTAAACATGCAAACTAGTCCATGTGCTCTCTCCACAGTGAACTCGACGTATCAGATGGCTCGATTGGCAAATGTCTTTATTTTCAGATCAATGACCCTCCTTATCCCATCATTCGAAAAGACAGCCTGGGGTGCTTGAGTGGTCTGTCTAATGAATCTATGGTGTAGGAGGTCCATGGACTCAGGCGGTAAGATTGGAGGGTTGGTGGTTAAATTGTCATCGCGGTCTTGATATAGATATTGGTGAATGTTTTCAAGCAAAATTGGTTCCCTGGGTAGCAAATCAGGACGTCTCCTCATTGACTCCATACTCTGTATTATTTCATCAACCAAGCTCTAAGGAGGTTGCCTTGAGGAAGAGGGAGTATCCGCATGCACCATGGGTGTTTGGGTTAAGGGTTGTGTATGGGTTGGTGTTGGTTCAGGTTGGGTTGGTTGGGGTTCATTTGGTTCGGTTTGGGTGGTTTCTGGTGCATGGGATTTGGTAGGTGATTGTGGTTGTTGGGGTGATGAAGGTTGTAGTGTCATGGGTTCAGGTTGCATGGATAAGGTGAATGGTTGTGTGGTGCGTGGTGTTGGTGAAGGGGTTAAGGGTAGGTTTGATGTGGGTGTTGAAGGAATAAGTTGGTTTAGTTGTGTTGGTGGGGTAGTAGGTTCTTCATCGGTTGAAGAGCTCAACACGATGGGCTCTTGGGTTTCAGCGAAGGGAACTTGTATATTTACATCTTCAGAGGGCAGAACCTCTGGTTCCCTTGCTTGGGTTTCTTCTGGTGATGGTGGTGGTGGTGGTTGAGGTGATGATGATAGTGGTGCAGCAGATTCGGTTTGTTGTGCAGTCGCGGCCTGTGTCTCCCCCTCATGAGGTCCAAGACCTTGATCATCGGGGGTCCTGGTCGTCATGCCCAGGCCTCTTGTGCAGGCGGCTGCTTCAGCAAGAGGCTCTTGTCCTCTTCTTCTTCTTTTCCTTCCTGAAGGTAGCGAGGTATGCCTTCAGGGAGGTCTGCCGTTGACTCGCCTACATTGTTTGCAGGAGGGAAGTTGTGCGCCATTTTTCATCGGCCAGGTTCTGGGAGAGAACCATTGTTGGACGAGTGGCCCGATGAACAAATTTTGCACTGATCTCGTTAAAAGATGAGACCAGTGCCCTTGACAAAGCTCGCAAGTCCGCTCGTGTGGTGAACTCTGTCATGGAGGATGAGGTTGGTGGTGGCATGGTGGAGGTGGATGTGTATGGGGGAATGGGAAGGTTGGTTTTTAGGTCTCTCACCTCTGCAGTGAAAGTGGAGAAGGCTTCATCGAAGGATGGGCCTGTAGAGGGAGGTGGTGGTTGAGAAGTGGGCTGGGGGATTTGGGCGAGGATAGCGGTGGGGAGTTGGGTGAGGGTGTCTTGGATGGAGGCCATTTGGTGGGTGAGATTGGCTAGGGAATCATCGATAGAGGTGATGGATAGTTGTGGTGTTTGGTGAGGGACTTGGGGGGATGGTTGTGGATAGGGAGTGAAGGTTGTGAAGGATGGTTTGAAGTTGGGTTATTATGTAGGTGAGGTTCTCATCGGCCTCTGTTGCCTGGGCCGTGAGGGTGGCAATGGATTGGATGATGACTTGGTTTCGTT